TGAAGGATGGAGGGAGAAGCGGTAAAGGGAGGGAGGAGGAGAGGGAAAGGGAGGAAGGAGGAGCAGGAGAGGAGGAAGGGGGAGGGGGAGAGGGAGGGAGGCCCCAGAAGGGGAGCGCAGGGGACTAGTGCCCTCCGCGGGGAGGAGTCTGAGGCCCAGCGCGGCCCTTGCCCAGAACTAGCGCCCAGGACTCTGTGGCCCGAGGGCGGCCTGGCCAGGGCAGCAGCCTCTGTGTCAGGGAACCGTCCCCCAGGCTCTCTGACCATCAGCCTGTCAGCCAAGGCCCCGGGTGGGGGTCAGATGGTGGGGCGCCACCCCTCCCCCTACAGAGCCCAGGCTCCCAGACAGGCTCCCCCAGGAGCGGGTCCCCCTCATCAGGGGCAGGAGGCCAGCGGGGGAGTCTCTCCCCTGCCCTCTAAAGAGTTGGCTCCCACCTTCCCGCCCAGCTCAGTGCCTGCCCCTCAGAGCCTGGCTGTGGGCACAGGGCAGCCCTTGGAGGCTCAGCCCTCACCTCCTCATGCCACACATGCCCTCAGGGTGCCCCCCTCACCTCCTGCTGACAGTGCGCCTCTCCCTCCACTTTGCAGCCATTAGTTAAATATTTTAATTAAAATGTTCTCCATTTCTACTCACTTCCACTCACTGTGCAGATTTTTGGGTTTTGTTTCCAAAGATGAATCCACACTGTCCCCGCCCACTTGTTCTCTTGTGATGGGTCTGCCCGCCCCTTCCGTAGGTCCCTCCCCTGGGACCTGTGACCAGCTCTGGGGACCAGAACAGGACCGAGGGGACAGAGCCTGACTTCTGCAGTTCTGACATGAAGGGCCTGTGGGTCTGACATGAGGGCCTGTGGGTCTGACTTGTGCCCTTGGCCCATGCCCCCTGGAGCCAGGGGCCTAGCTGGGAGCAGCACCCACCTCACAGCCCAGGGACCTCCCAGTTGGCAGCCAGCACCAGCTGCAGCCCCGTCAGGGACCCACAGTGGTTCTCAATCTTCTGGCCCTTTAAATACAGTTCCTCATGTTGTGGCCCAACCCTAAAATTATTATTATTGCTACTTCATCACTGTAATGTTGCTACTGTTAAGGATTGTCATGTAAATATCTGATATGCAGGATGGGCTTAGGCGACCCCTGTGAAAGGGTCATTCAATAGCCAAAGGGGTCGAGAGCCACAGTTTGAGAACCTCTGCGATGTTCTGGTCTGGCTGGGCCTCCAGTGACGCCGTCCCAGCCCATGTCACACGGAGCAGAAGAGGGGCCGCTGAGCACAGTCAGCCCGCAGAACAGGAGGAGGAAAGGCTGTGACTGTGGGATTGTGGTTTCCCGGTCACAGATGCTGGGAGCACAGCCCATGTGCGTCACTGCTGTGCACGTTCCCATCATTCCCGTCCTTCCTGTCACACTGTGAGCATCAGGAGAGCTGGGGTGTTTTTTTGTTTGTTTGTTTTACAAATGTTTTTATTGATTATTGGAGAGAGTAAGGGGGGAGAGAGAGAGATGGAAACATGGATGGGCTGACTCCTGCAAGCCCGCATTTGGGGTTGGATCCAGAGAACCCTGCATGAACCTAAAAGGGCATCAAACTGGGGACCTCCTTCTCATGGGTCCATGCCCAGTCCCAAAGCAACCTCTGCCCAGCAGTGGGCGAGACCATCTGGGTGTCAGGGCCCCTGATGTTTGCACACCATCAAAGTCCCAAAAGCACCCATTTCTCAGAGAGTCCCCATCCTTGGTGCAGGGATGACTGTGAATGGGTGGAATGCATCAGAGCAGCGCGCTGTGCCCGGGAGCCTCCCGGTGCTCCCTGTCAGTTACACCTGAAGCCCTTCTAGAAGCTCCTGCGGGCTCCCTGTGCCACACTGGCCTCCCGCAGAGGAGCACTGAGCAGTGTCGCTGTGAATATCACAACAACTGTCATCCACAGGTTAGATCGTCAATAGTCACGCCCAGCAGCACAGGGTCCCAGGCGCTCCACGACCCTTAAAATTAGCAGCAAGGGACACAGAGCCAGGAGGCAGGAAGCAGGACATGGCAGGTCTGCGTCAGCCAAGGAACGTCCCCTTAGGCGGGGTCACAGAGAGCAGAAATTGTGGGCAGCAGGTGGCAGTGGTAACGGGGCCGCCGGCGTCAAGGTGCTGTGGGGGGCTCTGGTCTCAGGGGATTGCACGGGGAGGCCTTGCAGGGGAGAAGGTGCCACAGGCCAGGGGGTGACTGTGGGGGAGACGCACTGTGGAGATACCAGCTCGGGCCAGCGGGGGACAGTGACCATGGCAGCAGAGATGGACCCCAAGATGGCAAAGCTCATGTTACACCCCGAGTGGGACCAGAACCCCGTGTCTACATCTCAGTGACGAACTAGAAACCCAAGTGGCACCTCCATACCTGGCACCTTCCACACAGTCTCACAGGGTTTATCCCTCACATCAGCCAAATTAGAGGGTCAGCCGGGTAATAACAATGCAGGTGTGAGAAGCAACTCACTGAAAACCAAGCTCCTACCTCGGTTTTCTCTGTAACACGCCAGAATCTCACAGAAATAGGAATGGAATAAACATACAGACACAGCTGCACTGCTCAAAGGGAAGTGTATTTCCTCAATAATTCCATGTAACTTTATTAACCTCCTTAGATTAGGAATTGACTTTAACATCTCCCAGTGCAGCATGTTTCCCATTGATTGTTGTGGATTTTATATGATAAATGGTATTGATGAAATGATTACCGAATAAGGATCATGATTGATGATGTCACATATTTCTCATCTCTACTGTGATTTCAAGAACCCAGGAGTTCCAGGGCCCCTCAGGAGCAGCAGGGAGGGACTGACAGGGAACAGGGCCCTAGAAGGAGGCAGGAGCAAGAGGAGCCTGAACATCCATCTCTCCACATCGCGGGGTCCTGTGTACAGGGAGCCCTGGGCCTGTGGGACAATGACGGGGAACATGTACCCTGTGCTGTCAGATGGGGGAAACCCAGACAGTGAGACCATAACTCACACATGAAAACAGTAACAGGCACAATATCTACCCAAAAAAAAAGAAACAACGAACATCTAGGAGATGAGGTGGGAGGGTGAGACCCTGGCATAAGCCCAGGCTGACCTGTCCAAGGAAGGAGTCGCTGTTCAGCGTCCTGGAGATGCGCTGCATTAGGACAGGTGACAAGGCCTGGGGGATGTGTGTCCCTCTGACCACAGGTCCTGGTGGGACAAGATTCCACTGAGGGACAAGGTGAGAGGAGCAGAGAGGTGACCTGGCCAAGGAGTGACCACGTCAAAGCCCACGATGCACTGAGCACCACCTGGGCACAGGCCCTGACCACACTCAGTCCTCACAGCCCCTCCCGCCCCACCTGGGACAGGCTCTGCACTGCAAACACATGGCTTCTGTAAAGTTCTCAGTGCTTCCATTCATTTCCCCTCAAACTTTAGAATCTTCTCCCTTAATTAACCCATTAACGCTTCAAGGCAAGCAATGAACACAGTAACATCAGAGTCTATTTTCAATACGGAGCAGGAAGTGGCAGCTCAGAGCCCCAGGGAGTAAAGGCATGATGGGGAGGGCCCAGCCCGACTCTGCAACAGGAAAGTGTGGAGAGCAGGGTGGGGACAGCCCCCCAATAAGAGGTTCTTGAGCCAGGAAGTGGGAGCGTGAACACATCTTCCATCACTTAGTCCCCACGAGGCAGCTGCCTCACGCTGTGGAGGACAAGCATCATGAACACATTCAGGTCAGTGGCTGTAACTGGTGACATTCTCAAAGGCCACTTCATGCTCACAGTGTCCCACAGACTCCCCACCACCCACCCCTCCCCTCTGCCCACCCCTCCCCGCGGCAGGGTCTCACCTTTAGAAGCCGAGAGAGACCCATCAGAGCCCTGGGCGCTGTCACTGCCCGGGAGGGTGGGGGGCGAGGGGACACACCAGAAGAGGGTCAGAGCCCCAGGGCAGGAGACCAAGGAATAAATATGTGCGGTGGAGTCCCCCATGACTCCAGTCTGAACTGTCCCAGGGTCTCAGGCATCACCCCTCCATACTCACTGGCAGCCTGAGCGTAGCTCCCTCCTTTCCCACCTGCGGGAAGAAAAGATTCCGTGAGACCAGGGAGGAGGCAGGGCCATGAGGTCCTAAAGGAGGCCCTAGTCCTGGGCCCCAGAGAAGTTTCCAGAACCCTGTGTATAGATCCAGAGCAGGGCCAGGAAACCTGAGGGAAGTGCATGTGTGGGGACTGGACCCACCGTCCTCCTGGAGGTCTGTACTCAGCAGGGACCTGCCCTCTGACCTGGGACTTCTGGGAACGGGGTCCCCACCACCAGTATCATCAGGTGATGAGTGGGTCCCTCACTTTCCCACGGGCCTCACTACAGAGTAAGTGTGAGCACAGAGCCCCACACTGGACATCACACGCGTGGGGAGGGTGCTTCCCATGAAGGAGGCGGGACACACGTCTACCTGGGCTTGAGTCCCCAGTGAGACAGACACTCAGACCCCACCCCTACCCACCTCAGCGCCTCCTCCACCACATCACAGCTCCAGCCACGGCTCCCAGCAGAACCAGGCCCCCAGCGATGCCCAGGATGATGAAGATGAAGGTGTGAGAAGGCGGCTCTGCAGCGAGAAGGCAAGGGAGGGTGAGGGCCCTGACCCAAGGCCTCAGCCCCGACCCCACTCAGCCCCTGCTGCCCTGAGAAGAGGCTCTGTGCCCACGGCCCCTCCTCACCCCATCTCAGGGTCAGGGGCTCAGGCAGCCCCTCGTGCTGCACATGGCACGTGTATCTCTGCTCCTCTCCAGGGGGCACCCTCACGGCCGCCCACTTCTGGAAGGTCCCGTCGCCCGCAGGCCTGGTCTCCACCAGCTCCATGTCCTGGGTCTGGTCCTCCCCGTCACGCTGCCAGGTCAGGCTGATGTCCGCAGGGTAGAAGCCCAGCGCCCAGCACCTCAGGGTGACCTCATGCTCAGAGACAGGGTGGTGGGTCACGTGTGTCTTTGGAGGGTCTGAGGGGAGGTGAAAAAATTTATAAAGTTTGCATCTGCTGTGGGACACTACACAAGAGCTCCTGTGACCATCCTGAGAATGGACAGCACACTGGGGTTGGGGAGGGAGCACACAGCCTACACATCAGCCTGGACAGAGGCACCTGAAAGGACCTTCTAGTCTTTAGAAAGTTCAGAATCAGAGAGACACAGCCCAGGGCAGGAGGCAGGTCTCTGAGGGGAGAAAAGGGATTTGTGGTTCTGACCTGGGTGGAAACCACATGTCTCAGAAAAGCTGGGGTCAGGCCTCAGACACAGTGGGTGTGGGCAGCGCACAAGGCCTGAGAGAGAAGGTCCCTGTGGGTCCCAGAGCCCCTGCAGGGCCCATGGGAGCCGCTGATGGGCTATTTCAGGGGTTCTCCCTGCACCCCAGGAGAGCCTGCACCCCTAACTGTCCCTGAGAGGACGGGGTGCCCTCTGGTACCTGACCCGGATATACAGGGGGCTCCCTCCCTGACCCAAGGAGGGGTGTCTGACACTGACCCATTGTCCTGCCTCCTTGTAGGAGCCCCAGCCCCCAGGTACCTGTGCGCTGCAGGGTCTCCTTCCCTTTCTCCAGGTGAATTGCCCCAGGAGACCCTGCACCTCTAACTGTCCCTGAGAGGACGGGGTGCCCTCTGGTACCTGACCCGGATATACAGGGGGCTCCCTCCCTGACCCAAGGAGGGGTGTCTGACACTGACCCATTGTCCTGCCTCCTTGTAGGAGCCCCAGCCCCCAGGTACCTGTGCGCTGCAGGGTCTCCTTCCCTTTCTCCAGGTGAATTTGGAGCCACTCCATGCACTCCCCCTCCAGGTAGCTCCTCACAAGCTCTGCCCCACCGGCCGCCTCCCACTTGCGCCTGGTGATCTGAGCCGCCATGTCGGCTGTGGTCCAGGAGGTCAGGTCCTCGTTCAGGGCGATGTAGTCGGCGCCGTCATACGCGTATTGCAGGTACCCGCGGAGGAGGCGCCCGTCGGGTCCCAGGTCGCAGCCAATCATCCTCTGGAAGGTGTGAGACCCTGACCCCGCCCCGCGGTCAGCCCCGCCTAGAGGGCAGCCGGCGGGAGCGCAGCCTTCCTCTTCACC